AGAACATGGTGAACTGTGTCTCCTCCATGACACACAAGAAAAATACAAATTGCAAGTGAACCTGCATATAAACAGTTTCTGGACAATATTTTCTATACATTTGAAGCCGTTCATTTGAATGGTTTTATATTCATACGGTTTGAAACTGAAACCGGAGGCCAAACAAGTCCGTGGCTCGTGCTGCCTGAGCCGCTCAGCCAATAGACCGACATAGGAGTTGGGCCATAGAATAAGCGTTTATTATCAGAGCACTGCTGGTCTGAGAAGGCAGCGGGTTAACACCTCCCAAAACTGCCTTCACATTCTCAGTCCAGTTGGGGGTATTTAAGGGGAAACCTGGGCATTCCTCCAGAGGCTACGTGAGGGCTCCCCAGGGTTCCGAGAGGGGTCCGCATGGTGCCTCCCCTCTGGCCACTTGATTCTCTGGTGGAGTCAGGGGCCCAGGAACAAGGATGGGATCAGCCTGGAAAGAGTGCTGGGCCACTGAGATTGTGATCAGTAAGCCTAAGGGTATTCATCATAAGTGTCAGGGTAATCTTCTAAAACAGGGAACTGGGTGGGACAGGGGACATTCCAAGCCCAGGATGCAGGGGAATGGTCTATTGTTAAGCTATAGGTCAAGGAAAGGTGAGACTGGGACTCGAGAGGCCTCTATTGTGGGGGTGCCAACCGGGCCCTGCTTCAAAACCACAACATCCATGTTACTTCAGCATCAAATTTGTTAAGTGAGTAATAAATTACTATGATTATTGGATTGGTAACATTTTCAACTATGTTAAATTTAGGTGGAAGCAAGTTCAAAGTATTTACTGAGAACGGCCAAAGAGCTGTTAATAATCGCCTGAATTACACATAGTAAAATGTTTTTGATCCCTTTTATTTTTTCAACAATCAACTTCTGATTATATAAATGTGAATTTTTTGTTAGGTTTAGGGTCATTTCTGTAATCTGACTTAACCATACTTTGGGTCGGATTTCTTAAATTGGGTCCTGATCTATTTCTCTCAAGGCTTAACTGGTTCACATGGGTTTTTCATCTTACTATTTACAATAGCTAAAGCCAACTTTCTTTTTTTTTAAACAGCTATT